GCTGAAATCGAAATCCATCTATCTTGTTGCCAAATTCACAAACGTCACTGGTCGGGAGTCTTGTAAATGGGCAGTACCGAATAATCGAATAAATTCTCTACGATAGAGACGCGCAGTGAGTGTGTTCACATAAAATGACGTTGAGTAACTAAAGTAAAATAGTAACTGACTCATCTCAAAAACAAACATGAATTCGTTTGATATCTGAAGACTAGTAGCGTTGACAGCAAGCATCACATTGAAGGGCATAACGAGGATGATGTAGGAGATGATTTGCGAAAAAAGCATCTGAAATAGTTGGCCATCTGTTTGCCTCTTATTATGTGGTTTGCTCGTCAGCACTCTGCGGTGTCGCTGACTTTTAATGTTCATCAAAGTTAATACTCCGAACAATGCCATAAGTGACGGTGGAAGTGCAGCATAGAAAACTAAAGAGAAAAATTCCAAAAATTTGTTATAAAAGCCTAATTGTTGTTGACATAAATTCCCTTCAATATGATAAAATAGCAGCATTTGCAAATAAACGATAAACATAAGAAAGACGGAAAGTGATATAATACGATAAGATACCGACAGTTTGCTCCATCGACGATAGACGACGAACGGAGAAGAAGAGCAGAAGCGATCGATCGAAGCCATTACAATAAACTACGGGGACAAATTGAAGCAAACATAACTTAAATAACGCATCAGTCTGCAAGCAACTAAACTTTTGTTCACTATATCAATGATAAAGCTATTATTCATCAACCAAATTGGAAGCATGAAGGCATAGTAGATAATAATGTCGACTACCGATGAGGCAAGGAAGTACATGGAGCACGGCGATGTTCGAAAACATGGACGAGTGAAGATGATCACGTTGAACGAACTACCGATTGTGCCTGTTGCAATAATGAATGGTAAAATATAGAGGGAAAGTTGAGCAGATATGAGGGATAATCTATCAACAGATGCTAATGAATTGTTCATTCTGACTTGTTTTCTGACATGTGTGCGAATCAGAATAGAGTTTGAGAAGTAGATGGCATGACAACAGAGTCATAATTTGAGAGGGGGAAAAAGCAGTATTAATACCGAAACAAATGCCGTACACATACTACTCACATACCCGTCACATACCGCTCACATACTAAAATACCCGGTACTGCCTGATATCTCGCAAAAATAGATATCAACAAAACACACGAGATATTAGTAAAATACGTGAGATTTTAGTCAATACATAACATACTAGCAAATAAATTTAGATATCGGAAATTCACGAGATTTTAGTAAAATACACAGGATATTAGTGAAATACACGAGATATTAGTAAGAAAAAGCGAGACATTAGCAAAATATGTGAGATTTTAGTGAATATATGAGACATTAGCACGTAAATTCAGGGTGCGGGCGTGTGTGTGCGTGTGTGCAGCATGAGAGTGAGTTTCCCAAGAACATTTCATTAACAGGGTTGGATATTTCTGGGATATTTTCTAATGTCCCAGATATGTTACTAATATCTTGGGTATTTCACTAATATCCTATGTATTTTACTAAAATCTCGCATATTTTGTCGATATCTATTTTGGCGAGGTATCAGGCAGCCCTCCAGTAACCGAGTAGATATTAGTTTTGTACCACGGAGTGAAAACAAAAGTCAAATTTTGTTCCGTTTTACATGTCAGTCTTCGAGCGAGACATAACGGGGTCCAGATTTATTGCACAAAATGTTTAACCGTTTTTCTTCAACCTAAGAACGTTTGCAAATAATCCAAGTTAGCGTGACGAAACGGCTCAAGAAATGCCTTTGCACAGAAAATATTCTCGACATTTGTTTAGTTAACACTGACAGTCAGGTTCAGCCTTACTTAGATTTCGACCTGACACTTGGTTAAAACATGTGATTTTCAGATCCTTTTATGCGCTGGTAGCAGTTTCTGTCTAAAGGGAGTAAAATGAGTAAAAACTACAAGGAGTAAAAATTAAAAGCACTAAAAACTAAAAGGAATAAAAACTCAAACGAGTAAAAACTGAAATGAGTAAAGTCTAAAAGGACTAAAACCTGAAAGGAATAAAAACTGATAGGAGCAAAAACTAAAACTAGTAAAAACTAATGAGGGAGGTCCACCAACTTTTAAATCTTTTTCTAGTCAAAACCTAATTGACTATAGGTAATCAACCATTAGAATCCCAAAGACACAGGTTTTGAAAAACCGATTTTCTATAGAAAAAAATTTTTTTTCGTCAGAAAATATTTGTGATTTGTTCAGATTATAGAGCACATCGAGTTATCTATAGGAGTGTATATTTTTCAATTTTTGAACCAATATTGAGAACACTACAATACTAAAAACTTTATATGTCTGCCAGAACCTAAAGTAGTTTGAGATCTGACCTGAGAGAATTGGCACACCGAAAGTAAGGATCCAAGCAGATTCGATTTTCTTCAACGTTTTTTTATTGGTTCAGCTTTTTTTGTACAATCAAAAGTTTAGAAAATAAAAAATCATCTTCAATGTGACTTGTTGTGACTTGGGATGGAGAATGTAAGTTTAGATGTGACTTTACTAAATCTGCTAAAACAGTAACAATATTCTGAAGATTCATCGGATCTGAAATCTAAACTAAACTTAGTAAAATTTGTATAGAAAATCGAATTTTCAGATGACATCGCTCGATCAAAAAATGTCGAGAGCTATCTTATGTAAGATTATCGATCACTTACCAATTGTGAGCCACAGAAAGAGTTCGCATCAGATATACATATATACTGTTTTACTGTTTCAATCAACAAATATATATATACAAGAGTGCGAAAGGAGAAAGAATTCACTAGAAGATGATAGGAAAAGGAGTCACTAGAGAATAGAAGAGAGAACAGATGTGATTCATATGGAGAGAAGTAGATACAACTCGTTGTCTCATACGGTTGCATCTGTCAGACGAGTTTACAATCATAGGAATGTGGTAAAACACATCTGACATATGCAAAAGAAACAGATTAAGAAAATATTTAGCGATAAAAATGCGAAAAAAGGCTAAAATTCTTCAGACATGTAACGTTTTTAGTATTGCAGTGTCCTTAATATCGGTTCAAAAATTGAAAAATATAGACTTCTATAGACAAAATGAAAACTGGAATTGGAAAAAACGAATTATTAAAGAACAACATTTGAAGAAATTATTTTTCATAAACAATTATTTTTAAATATTACAAAAGTATAAAATCAATTTTAATGGAATAAAAATTGTTTATTTTATTTATTAGATTATCGAATGTTTGACTATTATTAACAAAATATAAATAATTTAATTCATCATCATTTCTTTCATACATAAAATTATTTACATCACTGTATTTTGAATACATTTGAATGCGTTTATATTGAAATTGAATGAATTGTATATTATTGATCATTTCATTATCAATTACTTTTAATTCAAATTTTTTTGTCTTTTGATGATATTATAATATCGTCGATATTTTGACCATTGACATAACTACCATCAACAATCTCATTAAATTGATTTGATAATTGTAAATTTAATTCATAAATTATATGAATATTATGAATAAAGTCGTCTAATTGAAATAAATAGTTTTCAATATCCATCATTTTATTTTTGATTATTATTTTTTCTTCTTCTTCTTCTTGTTCTTGCTGTTGATTATTTAACATACGAAAAATAAATTCAATTTTATTTTGAATTAAACTTAAATTATTATTATTATTAAATTTTGTTAAATAAATTTTGCCATTTATTTGCAATTAATTTTAAATATTTAGAATGAATTAAATTTTGAAATTTTACTTTTAATTTAACATTTTTATCAAATTCATTTTGAAATTCTTTTAAATACTTAAATGGCTTATTTATTCGATTAAAATCAATTATTTCTAAAAGAGAATATATATTATTTAAATCATCATCATTGAAAGTGATTTCATTCGAAGAATAGTTTTGAATTTCATTTATTATTAAATGTTCACATTGATGTTTATTTAAAATTTTCATTTAAAATTTGTTTCATATTTTCTATTCGATTATCATCATCATCGTCATCATTATTTTGATGAATCTGATAGAATTTCATAGTAGATAAAATATTTTTAAATTTATTTATTGCATTTTCTAATAAAATTATTTCTATATCAATATGAAATATTTTAACATTTAATTCATTAAATTGCCATAATAAATTGATTTTTTTTTCATTTAAAATATTGTTGATGCTATTATCATTGATCAAATATTTTAATTTTATGAAATGTTTCTCTAAATTTTCTCTAAATTCTCTTAAAGTAGTTACATTTTGATTTGTATTATTTATGTTTTGTTGTTGCATCATGATAAAATCAAAATGTAATAAATAATGATTGAAATTTAATTCAAATAAATCTTGATTAGTATTATCTAATAGATAATTATTATTTTCGTATAAAGATTTTATGACAACATATAATTTAATCCGGTGATTCTTTAAAAGTCATTATTTGTTTATCAAACAGATAATTAATTTTGATTAATAAATATATCATTTGGAACACATTCTTCTTCTTGTTTATCAAATAGACGTAAAAATATAGACGTATAAAATATTCATTTTAATATCACTAAACCCTTTGTTAATTTTAACTTTAATTTTTAATCTATTGGCCATTTCCAATAATTTCTTATCTGTATTAATAAATAATTGTTGCTACAGGGCTTCCATAGGGCCTTAAAGTAGCATGCAATCCTTTTGTTTAAACTTGTGTTTTTAGAAGATAATAAATCTTAAATATCTCGCTTAGTTTGTCAAGAATGCAGAAGTTACTGTAGAATTTGTGCTCTGCCATTTCTTTCTTCTGAAAAAGTCCTCTTTTCTTAACAAAGAAACAATATTCTGTTTCGTCACAACGCCTTATGGTGTTCAGTATGCTCTGTAAATTAAAGTTAGCACATTACAGCTCAGATAAAAAGTTTGAATTGAGTTTTCCTACGTGAAGCTGGGAAGGTACAAAAAATCGCCTCTGAACAGAATAACGGCTTTTGGTACGGAAACGTATCAGAGTGATGCATGGACTGTTTTGATCACAGCATGGCTTAGTAATTATGTTGTTCATTTCGTACTTTAAAGGTTCTAAGTTCAAACTTCGATACCATCAAGTTATGTAATTACCTTGGACAAGCTAGTAATGTCCACCTCCCTCGCGGATCAACGATCAGATATTACAATTATCAGGTTGTGCTATTCCGAGTCGTACTAAAAAAGCCTTTGATAAGTGTTATGTCTCTGACAACGATGTTTTTAAAATTCTTTCATGCTTGAATATAAGTAAAGCCGGAGCTCCAGGCTTAAGTAATCGTGTTCTTCGTGAGCTTGCTTCTGTTATTTCTTCTCCCTTAGCAAGTTTGCTAAATGAATTTTTTTCTTCTGGTATATTTCCAACGTGTTGGAAAACAGGATATGCTAATGCGCTTTTTAAGAGCGAGGACGTGTACTTAATGTCAAATTATCGTCCTATAACACTATTGCCTGTGCTTTCGAAAGTCTGCGAGCGTCTTGTACATCACCAAGTCTATGAATATTTAACAAAGAATGATTTGCTTAGTTGTCATCAGTCAGGTTTCAGAAAACGGGATAGTACAATCAATCAGCTGCATGAGATTATCCACTATATAAACAAAAGAGTGGATAATAATGGTTTCGTTCAAGGTGTTTTCTTAAATATAAGCAAAGCTTTTGATTCAGTTTGGCACCGTGGTTTGCTACATAAACTGGAGGGGTATGGTATTAAGGGACCCATGTTGCGTTGGATCGAGTCGTATCTCTCTGGAAGGCATATTGTTACTGTTCTTTTAGAAGCAGTGTCATCTGAGGAGGTGGTAAATGCTGGAGTGCCTCAAGGTTCAGTCGTGGGACTACTCTTGTTTTTGTTATTTATCAATGACATCTCTGATAACTTGGAGAATCTTTGCAAGCTGTATGCTGATGACACTTGTTTATTTGGTAAAGGTTCTGACATTATGGCCTCGACAGATTCTCTTAACAAAGATCTGAAACGCTTACCTGACTGGTCTGATACCCGGCTACTTTCTTTTAGTGTTAAAAAATGTAAAACTATTCTGTTTACTAAAAATCGTAGGCTTACGTCGCCACCGATTGTTATGAATAACAGTCCTTTAGTTCAAGTAGATGAACATGTTCATCTTGGTATGATCCTCTTTAGAGACTTGACCTGGACCAAACACATAAACAGACTTGTAGCTTAAGCAAATTCTATTCTCGGGCTGATGACACTGAATAAGTGGTTATTCAATAGACGTGCACTTGACACTATATACAAATCGTTTGTTCTCTCTGCGTTAAATTATGGTGCAACATTATATTCTTTAACAACTGAGTATAACCTTCAAAAGCTTGATGGCGTACAGAAACGCGCAGCCAGACTTGTTACAGGTACTATAAACATTTTCTAATTATATGGTCTATGATCTTCTCAAAGTAAACCAGAATATTTGCTGAATGTACTAAATGAAAATGCCATCTTAGATTGAACGAGGAAACTCAAGTATTTCTTCTTTGCTTGGAAAAAATGATAATTGAAAAACTTGATAACGGAACCATTTAGCCTCAGGCTGAATGCGATTCATTGATACGTTGCAATGCATGGTTTTGTTTGGTGTAGGTTGCATGGTTTCCTGAACGGTGTAGGTATTGTCAAATATAAACGCTTTTTGAATGCTATCCATATCACCGATGTTTCTCAACATCTCAAACCAGTGAAAGCGAGTGATGAATACTTTTTCACTGAGAATCAGTTCGAGAAAATCCATTGCAATGCTGCAATTAAACATGGTGTATATGATAGCATACGACATCACTTTATTTTTGACGAAACGCGTTTCGTTCGACATTACACACATCAGTGACTAAATGCTCTTGTTCAAGGTGAGTCCGCCCTTGTGTTGATGTAAAATGTGGAGAAGCATGCTGCTCAGCATCTCATGCTTATCATCCTACCAATTCAATAGACATTATATTCAAAAGAGATGGAAGGGTTTGTCAAATTTCATGGTTCAAAAGTTATGCATGGTTAACATTTTGTAAAACAAAACAAAAGTTATATTGTTTTCATTGTATATTAGCATTTGAACGTGATGTGCATCCAGAAGCTGATAAAAATCTTAAAGTAGCTTTTATTGTAGATGAACTTGACAATTGGAAAAAAGGAACTGAACGTTTTGATATTCATGAAAAAACAAAAAGTCGTGTTGATTGTCTATATATTATATAAACAAACTCAACTATCAGTAGAAGTCAAATTCAAACTACTTTAAAAAAATAACAGCAACAAAGACGAGATATGTTATTGACACAAATATCATCAATAAAATATTTACTTCGTCAAGGATTACCACTACGTGGACATGATGAACCAGAAAGCAATTTAATACAATTAATGAAATTACTCAGTCAAGATGTAAATGGTTTAAAAGATTGGCTTAACGACAAAAAAATATTTATCACATGAAATTGTGAACGAATTAGCTAAAGAATTATCACTTAAAATAATTCAAGATATAATTCAACAGATTCTTGAACGACACTGGTTTGCACTCATATGTGATGAAATTGCTGATGAAGCAAATAAAGAACAATTATGTATTAAAATTCGTTCGGTTGATAAGCAACATGTAATTCATGAAAATGTAATAGGTTGATATCAAATTGATAGACAAAATTCTAATAGAATTACAGAAGCAATTGTTGATCCATTAACAAAATGTGGTTTAAATATTAAACAATGCCGTGGTCAAGGCCATGATGGGGCGGTAAATATGGGTGGAATTCATGAGGAGGTTGCTGCTAAAATATTACAATCAGAAAAAAAAGCATTTTATATCCGTTGTAATGTACATCGTTTAGATTTATCTATACAAGATTTAACAAGACAATGTTCAACAATGGATACGACAATTACATACACAAAAGATATTATTGGACTTGTTCAATTTGAACAGCAGATGAATCAATTTGATTATTGGCATATTTATCTTATTTGTCTGACAGTATTAGTTGTGGCTGGGTTTCTTATTTATTGTTGTGTTCGGCGGAAACTGCATGGCTTAGTTGAAATAAATCGTGATGTCGTTGATAGTAGTGCTGTAGAAATGTCGCGACTTTTGGCCGCAGCAAGAAGCCATTTTTGCCACGATCGTCAATCAGCAGAACATCTAACAGTGCCACAAAAGAATGATTCATTAGATAAAAAATTAACAACTTTTTTAGAAGTTTAAATAAACAATAAAAAGATGTCAGTCAAATTCTTATAAAAAGTCTAATACTATACATTTAGACTGTATTTTTGTAACTTTTTACGTTTTATACTTTTGGTTTTTATAAATTTTGATGAAAGCTAATAAAACTTGATCGTTTTCAGAATTGTGCCTTTAGTTTCGGCGAACTTGATTTTTTTCTTTCTTGTAGTAAAGAGAGCACTATGCTATTGTCGCATGATCGTGCGTTTGCGGACGAGTATGCGTTTCCTTATTTAAGATAAAAAATTCGGGAGTTTGCGTTTCCTTATTTAAGATAAAAAATTCAAAGTAAAGTCGGTATGAAGAAAAAGCGTAGTGCTTTCTTCTTCTATGCTCTTGATTATCGATGTCGATATACAAAAGAAACCGGTCGCAGTATTTCGGTATTAGAGGCAATTGAATCCTGTGCTTTGCTTTGGCCAAATGAATCTGAAAAAGTAGGACAAATATTCAAGGATGAATACGAAAACTGGAGAAAAGAACATCATCCTCGGCCGATACCGCAGACAACACGGAGGTAAGAAAATGATAGCGTTAGGTAAATACTGTATGTTTGTTACTTTCAGTACCCATGAAGTCGGCGTGCAAATTGATTCAAATTTTTCCAGTCTCATCTGAAAAGACAAAGTCAGTTTAATTTTCGTGTAAATATTTAGCGCATTGTATTCAATCTTGTTCTTCTTTTATTTGTAACATACATTTAAACTGATTAGTTTACAGGTGGATTCATTTTTTTAAAATTTTTCTTGTGTTATCTAATAAATGTATAGAAAAAACAGTTAAATAATAACTCTAGTTATTAACATTCTTGTTGTTACATTTTTATTGATTTAACTAAAAGTACTAGTTTACCTACATCTGATATAATGAATTTCCACTTCGGGGCATGTGGATTAATTTCTCTTTCTTAGTTGTAATAAAGCTTAAACGAACTAAACAGTTAAAGTGTGACAGTTGACATAGTTTCTAAAAGTGCTGAGCCGAAAGATTCGATTCTTAATGATCATATACATGCATACTTCTGCAAATGGTTTATCTACCTCAAAAAATTTTCTCTCAATATCTTTTATGCTATTCTTTTTTTCATTTTTCTTTTTCTACATATCTCTATTTCTTTTTACTCATATAGATATTGAAAGAGAGTTGATTTTTTTTCGTTTTTCTTTTATTTCATTCGTACTAGTAATTATCTAAAAGCAGTTGTCAAGAGACAATCAATCATATATCAGACTTATTATGAAAAGCGATATGAATCTGTGTATATAACGTGTCTGATAGAAAAGCGTTCACCACATTGAATATTTTAATCTCAAGAAAAATAAACACTACGATAACTAGATACACCTGCAAGTTAAATTTTAAGTTATATTAGTTTTATACACAGATTCATATCGCTTGTCATAACAAGTCTGATATATGATTGACCGTCTGTTGACAACTGCTTCTGACAATTTCTAGTGCGAATGAAAAAAGAAAAACGAAACAAATCCTCTCTCTTTCGATAATATAGATAATCTATATAAATAAAGACAAATAGAAATATGTAGAAAAAGAATAGCATAAGAGATATTTGAGAAAATTTTTTTGGAGTAGATAAACCAATCAGGGATGCATCCGTAAAACATATCCAATAGATAAATTACAATAAAATTTCCACTACTGGATTTCTTTTTCTTGTTTATGTTTCAAAACTATAAATGCTCGATGCATTTGTCTATTCCACTTCATTTGAATTTTTTTTCGACGAGTACTAGCAACGAAACAAGACAAGTAAGTGTCATTATTGTTTTTTTGAAAGGTCGAAATCGGTCGTAGTATCTTCTTTTGATTCTTTCAGAAATGAATTCTGTCTGAATCTCTAGTAACTACAAAGCGGTTGTAAAGTTAACTAAATATAATTATACAAGTCGAGTTTCACATTTATATAGATGAAACAACATTGGACTTTTAGACAACTGTATTAGCCGAATAGTTTAGTATATATATACTAAAATGAATTCACACAGTCCTTCGTCTTTGTTTCTGTGTACACCACCAAATCTATCTTCTCCTGTTAAACCAGCATCATTACTCGTACCGGTATCACCGACACCTACATCTGTTATTAGCCTAATTTCACCAGCGTCATCTGTCACAATAACACCAACAACATTATCTAATACAAGGAAAACTGTACATGCAAAAAGAAGCTCCGCATGGGCATACTTTCAACAACCTACCAGTGCTAATTCATTTGATGTTACTTGCAATCTTTGTAATAATATTATAAATCGTACCACAGGAGCTACAACTGCGCTGTTTCGTCATCTGAAATTACATCATAATGATGAATATCAAGCAGCGAAGGAATCCATGGATACAACGAAGAACAATGATCCGAGCTCCCCTTTAGTTCTTGATGGTTCTCAAGTTACGCAATTAACACAAGTTGCAGTATGTCTTTTTATGAATGATTTACTACCATCGACAATTATTGAAAATCCACGTTTACAAGCTATTTTTCAGCATTTTTAAGACTCACTTTAATTTTTGTGTAAATATTTAGTGCATTGTATTCAATTTTGTTCTTCTTTTATTTGTAACATACATTTATACATACATTTAAATTGATCAGTTTACAGATGGATTCATTTTTTTAAAATTTTTCTTATATTATCTAATAAATGTATGGAAAAAAACAGTTAAAATCTGACATATGACATAGTTTCCACAAAGTGCTGAGCCGAAAGTGATTCGATTCTTAACGATCACATATGTGCATACTTATGCAAACGATGGGAAGCATCTTGAAGTATTATGTACTGATTAGTTAATTTTAGATAAAATTGTTTGCTTAGTATCAGATAATGCAGCAAATATGGTTAAAATTGTTACAGATTTTGAAAAAGGTAAATCAACTGTCTGCTGATTCCATATTTCTTTTACAACGTTTCTAAATTTTCAGGTTGGTTCTCTGATCACCTGTTAAATCTATATGTTAGTGATGCAAACAAATTAGATAAGGTTAAAGAAGTATTATCAGGAGTTATATCTATTATCTGTATGAAAAATATTTATATATTATTTATATGAATAATATTTTGTATTATCTATATGAAAAACCAGATGAAGTTGATTCAAACTATGGTACTATATATGTATTGAAAATTTTCTTGCTTTATATGATGGTGTT